CATTTATTTAGGTACATGGAATGCTCGTACAATGTGGGAGACTGGAAGAGTCTTACAAATTGCTTCAGGAATGAGAAGTTACAACCTAGAACTGCTTGGGATCAGTGAAATACAATGGACGCAAGTTGAAAAACAACGGCTAGCTTCAGGGGAGCGTCTATTGTACTCCGGCCATGGGAATATCATGGACCAAGGATCATCAAAGCCTCCTTCAAAACAAGGAAAGTGGGCATTTCAATGAACGTCATCCAGTGCTATGCGCTTACCAACGACTACAATGAAGACGCTAAAGATCAATTCAATGATAGGCTGAAGTCAATCATCGAGAAGTTGCCCAACAAAGGACCTGACCATTCTGATGGGAGACTTAAACACCAAGGTTGGAATGAAGAACACCGGATATGAAAACATCATGGGACAACACGGACTGGGAGAAAGGAACGAAAATGGTGAGAGATTTGCAAACCTATGTGCCTTCAACAAACTGGTCATAGGCGGCACAATATTCCCACATAAACGCATACACAAAACCACATGAACTTCACCGGATCACACTACGAAGAACCAAATCGACCATATCTGCATCAGCAAAAAGTTTAAGAGAGGAGCTGATATAGCATCAGATCATCACTTACTGGTCGTCAAGATGAAATTGAAACTCAAGAAGCACTGGACAACGGGGCGGACAATATCACATAAGTTCAATACGGCTTTTCTTCAGGATACTGACAAACTCAATAAATTCAAGATAGTCCACAGCAATAATTTCCAGGCCTTTCATGATCTACTCAATGGAGAGGGAACTACTATGGGGAGCGACTGGAAGGGGATCAAAGAGGCAATAACTTCAACATGTCATGAGGTCCTGGGCCACAAGAAGCAGCATCACAAGGAATGGATCACTGTTGATACACTGGATAAGCCACAAGAAAGGAGGAACATAAAGGTAGCTATCAATACCAGCCAAACAAAGCAGAGAAAGCCATGGCACAAGCTGAATACAGAGAAGTAAACAAGCAAGTGAAGAGGAGCATCAGAACCGATTAACGTAAATATGTGGATGGTTTAGCAATGACGACGGGAAAGGCTGCAAGAGAAGGAAACGTGAGAAAACTGTATGACACAACAAAGAAACTCTCTGGAAATCATCATACACCAGAACGACCAGTAAAAAGCAAGGAAGGCAAGGTAATCACCAACATTGAAGAACAACGAAGCAGGTGGGTAGAACACTTCAAAAAACTTTTAAATTGACCAGCCCCACTGAACACACCCAACATCGAAGCAGCACCCACGGACCTTCCAATCGATGTTGTCCCACCAACAATTGAAGAGATCAGCGTGGCCATCAAACAAACGAAGAGTGGCAAAGCAGCAGGACCAGACAACATTCCAACAGAGACGCTGAAAGCAGACGTGGAGGTAACTGCAGAGACACTTATAGTATTCTAATTATCGTATGAATTAGGAATTCCAGGATTAACGCAATTGAATTAAGAAGACACAGGCAAAAACGAATGTAGTGTATTTAGAATTCGAAATCGAGCATTCAACAAGTACAAAGGTATCATTAGTCCATTTAAACACCACAACACTCCACATTCTCTTCAGCAAGATTCGGGATAAAGAACAGGTACCAACAGACTGGAAAGAGGGACACCTGGTCAAGATACCAAAGAAAGGCGATCTCAGCAAGTGTGATAACTACAGGGGCATCACTCTTATCTCAATATCAGGGAAAGTCTTCGAAACGGTTTTGTTAAACAGAATGAAGGATTTCGTAGACTCCTAGCTTCGAGACCAACAGGCTGGATTCCGTACGGATCGATCGTGTATAGACCAGATCGCAACACTACGGATCACTTTGGAACAATCAGTTGAATGGAATTCATCACTCTACATCAACTTCATTGATGACGAAAAAGCATTTGATAGCGTGGAGAGAGCAACACTACGGAAGCTTCTTCGACACTACGGAGTGCCTCAGAAGATAGTCAATATCATACAGAGTTCATATGATGGATTAAACTGCAAAATCGTGCATAGAGGACAGTTGACAAAGTCGTTCGAAGTAAAAACCAGTGTCAGGTAAGGTTGCTTACTCTCACACTTTCTCTTCCTTCTGGTGATCGACTGGATCATGAAGACGTCAACGTCTGAAGGGAAGCGCGGGATACAGTGAGCATCCAGGATGCAGTTGAATGACCTAAACTTCACAGATGATCTGGCTCTTCTACCACACACGCAACAATAAATGCAGGAAAAGACGACCATTGTGGCAGCAGCCTCAGCAACAGTAGGTTTCAACACAGCATGCATCAATCCAATCACACTAGATGTAGATTTTGAAGATGTAAAAACCTTTACATATCTGGGCAGCATCATCGATGAACACAGTGGATCTGATGCACATGGGAATGCGCGGATCAGCAAAGCAAGAGCAGCATATTTACAACTGAAGAACATCTGGAACTCAAAACAACTGTCGACCAACACCAAGGTCTGAAATTTCAATACAAATGTCAAGACAGTTCTACTATATGGGGCGGAAACCTGGAAAACTACGAAAGCCATCATCCAGAAGATACAGGTGTTTATTAACAGTTGTCTACGCAAAATACTTGGTATATATTGGCCAGACACTATATGCAACAACGTACTGTGGGAGATAATAAACCAGATTCCAGTGGAAGAAGAAATCAGGAAGAAGCGCTGGGATTGGATAGGGCACACATTGAGGAAAGCACCCAACTGCGTCACAAGGCAATCCCTCATGTGGAATCCTCAAGGCCAAAGGAAGAGAGGAAGACCACGGAACACATTACGTCGGGAAATGGAGACAGACATAAGAAGAATGAACAACAATTGGATGGAACTAGAAAGAAAGGACCAGGACAGAGTGGGTTAGGGAATACCGGTCGGCGGTCTACGCTTCATTGGGTGTAACAGGCGTATGTATGTATGCAATTAAGAAGCCTGTTGTATGTTATCTGGAGAATACCGACAAGAAGTACCAAGTACTGTGTAAAACGTGGCGTTTTTAATTAATGTATTATGTTGTATTCATATTATCTATAAAAGTACTGAATCTGATTTGTACTAGCTATAATCCTCCAGTTTATCGTCTCGTAGCTGCTTCTATATGACGCGCCGATTCTCACATTGTGTATTCGAATTTTACCAGCACTGTTTATATTCCTATGCACTTGAATACTCTCTTATCTCTATTAAGAATGTCTTCCGAAATATCGCCTCAACTAAGAGATCTGTTTCTATAAATCTCGTATCATTTGTAACATTCTGTTTTCACCTGTTAACTGGTGTACATTAAGTAGCTTATTGTGATTCAAAAGTAAGTTATTGTTATTATTGATCTCCTTGGTAGCCACATGCTAATCTTACTCAACGTACATTACTGGTGAATATAAAGTCTGATAATCCCTTTAGGTAAATCTACTAGTATGTTAGGATCCATTTGGACCGTACCAGATATTCTGTAAACGACTTTCTTGGCCAAACTTTCATCAGTCATTATGTACGTTATGCGGGCGGTTGCGATTTGTATGTGAAGCCTTAGTTTTGATTTTCATCCGTTTGGTTGGGAGACTTTTTATACATCTCGGAATTATGTATTTCAGCTGCGGTCGCCGATCTCCCTTTATAAACTTTCAGTATTGTTTGGGTACTTCAGTAGCACTGTAGCAATGGACCCAACTGCTTCAGTAGATGCCTAATCACTTGTCACAACAGCTGAAGATAGTGTATTATAATTATTTCCATGACTGTCTCCTAGCGGACGGCGTTTTTGAAGAACTGGTTTAGGGACTCTATTTTCTCTACTTTTCGTAGCTTGTGTCTATCACTAACGAGAAACATGTTGGCTGAAATGAAATATCTGTTGTTTAGTGAAGTACTGACGTCAGATAATCAAGTCAAGATGTTGATCTTAGCAATCTCGCCGTGGGATGCATTATTATGTCTTAGTTTGTGATTTTTACATAATCGTTTGTGAAAAATTGGGGTCGACTGGTCACCTCTGTGGCTATGCTATAGGAACTGATGGGAAAACCAGTACAGACGTTTTGATAAATCGGAGGGACTTTATTTAATCGCACTATGATCAGTGCTACATAACGTTATGCTTGACATATAAATGCGCTCTCTGCTACTATTGTTGATTATCCATCATAAAAGAGACCGTCGAAGACTTCATTATGGCTTATGGTATAGTTTCTACAACAAATGTTTCCTGCTAACGTCTATTTTGTAACATTGAGTTAACGAGAATTGTGGTAAATAACAAGTCTAGTGAGGCTCACATACTGATACACTCATTTCTTGACACAGACAAGCAGGAAATTACAGAAACTAACAATAACGTGGACAAATGGTTTAAAGCTTCTTTAAGAAATCCAAAAAATAAAACATTTATTCAGAGGTCAGTTCCTGAAAATTAAACTGAGAGTTTATCTCGAAATTCCACAAGTTTTTGACTGAAATGATGAATAATCAGTAGCGATAGTACACATAACCAAAATCAGATTGTAAGTTTAACGCCTCAAAAAGATGGATTGGGTGGTCAACCAACTAAATGTTCATCAGACAACTAGAGCTTTCATTTGCCTAGGGAATATGTATTTGAGACGACGTGATACATCGGAAACCAAATGATTAATTTCAGTCAAAATCGTAATGGTAAGAGTTTGCCTTAGCAGTCACGAGTCAAATAATTTGTTTCACTCCCTCATTTTAAAAGTATATTTTTCTGATAATCAGACACTGGTAAGCATCTGAAACATGGTTATAGTTACAATAAATGCAATATGCAATCAATGATTATTAACTGATGGAGTAAATTCTACTAGTCACAGATCAGCCAAATATATAAATATTTGGTCAGAATCTTGTATAAGATGAGAATGAATGCAAACATTTCGTAAGGAATAGAGACATTGAGTATTTAACGGCTTTTCGAACTTGATAACTTGTATGCTGCAATTGTTTTTCCGGAGTCCCATCCCTTGTTGGCTGTCAAATCTGGTAATTTGACTGACGTGATGGAAAGGTCTAGGCTGTATAAAAACAAAGATAAGGACTCTGAGGTAAGATTTTAGATATTCAAATGTCGATTTTAGGAACTTCGGAGGCGTCGTACTGATCAGTCTGTTGAACTTCGCAAGGCTAAGAAGGACGAACAGCTTCAGAAGCGAAGAAACATACTATTGACTGAACTAGATGAAACCTCACCCTTGAAAGAAAAGCAAATTGATACTCCTGAACACGTTAACTACGATGCAGTTATCCGTGATATGCAATCAAGTGATCGAGTCGCTCGATTTAAAGCAGTTCAGCTCTGTAGAAAAACCCTATCACGCGCAAAGAACCCTCCAATAGACGAGTTTTATAAAAGGGGTGCTGTCGACATCCTTGGTTCATCCCTCAGTTCCACTCAGTAAGTTAAATCAATATCCTTTCTAATAGTAGCGATGATCTTGTTTTCGAGGCTGCATGGGCACTCACAAACATTGCCTCCGGTGATAGCTCTCATACAGCAGCCGTAGTCTCCTCTGGAACTGTCCCAAAACTGGTACGGCTGTTAAGTCATTCTGCTATCAATATTGCTGAGCAAAGTGTATGGGCTCTAAGTAATATTGCCGGAGATGGATCCAAATTCCGAGATATAGTTATCGAGAGCGGAGTTGTTGAACCAGTGTTAAAGTACGTGAAACCGTAACTAAATATTTCCCGAAGACTTCTAGATCGAGTTTGGAAGCAGCCCACCGTGGTATCAAATATTGCCTGGATGTTGTCTAATCTTTGTCGAAACCGAGATCCTCCTCCACCACGTGCCGTCATTAAAAAGCTTCTGCCTTATCTCAATCGACTTCTTCAGTATGAGGGTAATAAGAATGTGGTTGTGGATACTGCATGGGCTCTTTCATACGCAAGTGATGCCGTAAATGAATTTATCGATGATATAATAGAAAGTGGGTGTGTCCCGTTACTTCTGCGACTGTTGGCATCATCATCGGTATGTTCAATTTCAACATCTTATAACGGATTAGGCGAATCTCATTTCTCCCTCTCTCAGAGCCATTGGTAATCTTGTTATCGGTACTGATGAACAAACACAAGCTATTCTGGATGCTGGTTTACTAAATTACATCCCTGCATTGCTAAACAATGAAAAGTCTACTGTGGTCAAAGAAGCCTGTTGGGTAGTGAGTAACATTACCGCCGGAAGTGTAGATCAAATTGACATGGTTATAAGTCACAACATCATGCCATGCATTTTGGAGATCTTTTACAAGGTAATACAAAATCGTCAATGATATTTTATTTCGAAATTCATTTTAAAACCTACTTAATTTATCGTCTTAAAGCTCCTCAATTTTGGCCACGAGCGTCTATAGTGGCTTAAATTAGTTTTAACAGCCGAAATCCTGGTCATACTTTCGTTTGGTCAGTAGTTTTTATCATATCGTTATTCTGTGTGCATGTGAAGTTTTAATATAACTTCTTCAGATCAGAGAAGCAGTCATTTGATTGCTGTAGTAATGAGTCGATTAGCTCATGAATCAGTGTCGCTTAAATAATTTAGACATCTATGCACAAACTCCCGAAGTCTGTATTTTTTGTACTAAATATTAAAATACATCTAATTAAGAAATAGGTTAAACATGATTGTTAAGCACTCAATTAAGAGGAAGACGCTACGTTCTACTTAATTACTACGTAATCATTCAGGTTTATGGGTCAACACTAGGATTTAATGAGTAAGTATAGAGGTTGACGAAACTAATCTTATGGTCGTTCTTGGCTACAATGCCAGGATGTTTAGTGTGAGTTTCTGCTTTAAATATGAAACGTCCCGATTGTAGTCGTTAACGCCTAAAAGGCGGAGTGTTGATTAAAATTATCAACTGTATCTAAACCATCTGTTCGGACTGTGTCATTATCACATACAGTGTTTGCAAATGACTCGACGGTTAGAACGCTCAACTTGCGCCCATGAGCCGTAGGTTTTCGTCCAGTTCTGGATATTTCGGTTCGGGCAACTGCGTTATATGATCAAACCTGACAATGCATTTCATACCCGAATGCCTGGTGAATGTTATTATTTTCAGATTACATCACAGTCAGATATTAACCGTTTTTCTCAGTTTCAAAATCGCTTCGCGATTTCCTCATCAAACTCGTTTTCGGATTCATTATTTTTGCTCCCGTTTTAATATTATTATTACTTTGACATTCACTTAACAGCTCCGTCTGTTGATGCGACGTAGCAACATGGACCAATGCTCATGTGTTCAAAGGTTTACAAAGCTTATAATTGACTTGACATTCCGGTTCATACCACTACTGTAAGCTCTACATACTTACACCTTCATTCTTACGTGTTCGTGTTTGTTTTACAGGGTGAATTCAGAACTCAAAAAGAAGCGTGCTGGGTTATCAGTAATTTTATTAGCGGTGGAACCCCGGCACAATGTGCATATTTGTTGAACCAAAATGTGTTGAAAGCACTTTGCAATATACTTACAGTTTCAGAGTCGAAGGTTGTACTTATGGTTTTAGAGGGAATAAAAAAACTCCTAGAGGTATGTTTCGAATATTTTTAATGACCGTAATTCGATTCCAACTGTTATTTCTTTTATCTTTGTGGGGGTATCTCCAAAGTTTTTGTCAGCGCTTCATGTTTTTATTAAACCTAGAATTTAAATTTTCACATGAAATATTCATTTTCTGTCCAAGATTTCTGATCAGTATGGGCAATTAGAACCAGCTTGTATCGAGTTAGAGACGTGTGGGGGCTTGGATAAGTTGGAAGAATTGCAAGATCACACTAACGTTCAAGTCTATCAAGTTGCTTACGATTTAATTGAAAAGTACTTCAATGATGCGGTAGGTTGGTGCTTTCCTTGTTACACATTTAATGCTTTTGAAACGTTCGTGTCCATTTATTAAGTCATCAGGTATCACAAACTAGCAGTCAATTTCTGTTTGTAGTTAAGACCGATTTATCTGCAGTCGACTTTATAGTATATTTGAGTTTCAGGTTTCTACAAGCCTCTTTTGGTAAAGCCAAGTGCATGTTTTTTAATATTCATATCAATATAAATAGCGTAACTTTCTGAGTGGATTGTAGCGTTCAAGTATACAGTAAAATCCAGTAATCTGTGAATTCTAATTGTCTGAATACCTAGAGGAACTGCGGTTGTGGCAGAACGAACAGTAAGCTGTGAACCTTTAGTCAGTTATACATGGGAACCAAACGCTGTGTGCGTGTAACTGATTTCAAAGAGTGGTCGGAATTTTTTACCAGTGATTTCTTCGAAGTGTAATTACTACCTTCATGTTGTTTCAAGGTTCACTAATCTCAACATACGATCATTCTTAAAATATAAGTAACAAGAAATATTAAGATGTGTTGGATAAAAGTGATTATATAAAAGTGCTTGTTTGCCATCTTCGTTTATAGCATCATGGGAGTGTGCTTGCTATTGTTTCAGACCATCACTTACTATAATTCCGTGAAGCACTATCAACTTAGTATATCAAAACTGGATTTGGAACAGTTGTTTAATCTTCAACGCTCATTTTATTTTCATAGCGGGATTGCTTGTTCACTCGGCGCAGTTTAAAAAACTGCGAATTATTATCGATAATATATTTTCACAGCTTTACTCTTCTTTTCAGGATGATGAAAACGAAAGCAAAATCGTGGCTGCTGATGGCACAGAGAATAGTGAGACTTTTCCTCCTAATTCAGAACAAGAATTCCAGTTTATTGCTCCCGATGGAGCTTCAGGACAAGATGGTGACTTTCATTTCTAAGTTAGAAGTTACTTCGACGCTAACTTCGCATCAAAATTATCCGAGTTTCTAAATAGATTACTGGTATATGAACGATGGTATTCTTGGCCACTTTTATAACCTTAACCTCCCCACATCGTGGTAATCAACAATAGTCATGTACGTATCGGGGATTATTATTCAACCCGTCTTATTAAGTAATATTAGATTCAACATTATTTGTTACCTCAGGCGCCTGGAAACTAACTGTAAACCCGAAGGCCTGTAATTATTCACTAAGAAGATGATCTTCATCTCTTAAGTGATATCAATTAAAGTTCAATATATAGTGTGTTAGTCCTACATGTACCTATGCCTTTAAAATTCCCGACTTTTTGGTGCCTAATAGCCATAAAGTCACGCTGCACACAAATGGAACTGCTCTTTTTTATCGTTCCTGCCATAATTGTTTCCAGTAGTATTGATTAACCGTCCTGTTAAACCTTGTAAATAACATTTTGCTAGAAAATCAGATACAAGCTAAGGGTTGGTTTCACCTGAGCTCATGTTACGTAAGACCAGTGTATGTTTATCTTTAGCATAGGCCACTGTCAGTTTACAATCTAGCTCGTTTCAAATTATTGCCATCCTTTCATTATATTGGCTTACATCTTTTATTGTGAATACAGGTTCCTTCTCCATGTTTTTCTCGATAAATTGGGACTTCTACTCAGCAATCAGGTGGCTGAAATCTAATGTGAAAGTGCCGGATTTCTGTAAGTTGTTTGCTTTGAAAAATGAAAGATGTGTGGGTATTTCAAAACAATCCTTTCACTCCTGAAAGCTGGTTTGATGTAATGAAGGTAGCACCATTAACGTCGATTGACTTAGAATCTTGTTGTTTGTGAAGCGCTTTGAGTGACATTTAGAGTTGAACGTATAGAAAAATAACACAATAAAAGATTATTCGTGTGCGATTTTCTTGAAATTCGGATTGGTCTTTGTTTAAAGATCACTGTTCGTACTAGCAAGCTGGATTTTCTAGTCACCCCGTAAATCACACGATTATCAATCCAAATGTAGAAAATTAGGAAAGTTATTATTATTCTTATCAAAATTGTGTCATACGATTGTTGAGAAGCACGAAAATCGACTTAGTACCAAAAACTCCTGAGTTCTAGTACACATGTTTGTTCAAAATCGCAGTATTTTAGCGAAGTTTTAGAATTATTCCGAATTAAAACTTCACTTGCATAACTAGGCCGTTAGACGGAATTCCGTTAGTTCAAATTGTTGCGAATTCACGTTCATTATTTACTGGGTGTAATTTTGGCTCGAATGTTGGAGTCAAAGTGGAGTATACAGTCTGTTTGGATTCCGTCCATATCAAGAATGTTAATGTTCGTAATGTCTAGTTGTGTTTAGGAGGGAATTTAGTAGCTCTGATCGTAATGGTCTTGCCTTATTTGATATCCGAACTGAGAATAAACAGTGCGAAAGACGCTGACTTTTTCACCTCACATTTAAACAAGTCGAAACTAGACCACTGTAAAATTAGGAATTTTGTTACTACACCTCTTAAACTTCGTTATAACTAACATTGTTGTTAATTAGACTTGTCTGTTCCTTAATCTCTGATTGGTTATTCAGGCAAGTCGCCTTATTGGCGCGATGTTTAGTATAAATGTCCTTTAAGTAGCTCTTAAAGATTAGTCTGAAAAAATTGTATTAAGATTTCGTGTGCACCAAGATTATTTTTACAAATCACAGATCAAACCGCTAACGACCACTTTATCTATGAATCACCCTTCAAATAAAAGAAATAGCTTACAAGCTTGTTACAAATCTGATGGGAAAGCTGAAGGTCGATTCGAAGAAATAGAAAGAAAGTTAGTATTGTCTTGTCAGTATTACCGTGTTGTTAGAATAAGTTTTACTTGTCTATGAACTTTAGATATTTATGCTATGCCTTGGAATTTTTTTAGAGATAAGTGATAAGTGGTAATGCAGACTACAAACTGTGTATATAAATATTTTAGATGTACACGAAACGGTGGTCGAGAGTATAATAAATTATTTGTAAATCATGTTCAAAAACCCATATTATAATTACGGTATCAGTAGACAGTTCCAGATGTTTTCACTAATAAGTATAATCTATTAGCATCTAGAACTTGGAAAGAGAGCAGTTTCTTTGCTTATATTTCACCCGTGTTTGTTCCTGAGGAAAAGCTTTTAGTCGAAGTTTTATGGAGGCCTGTGTGCTTAATTTCAAATTTTGAAGAGTGCTGATTAATATATGTCGGTGTCTGAGTTTTCTCGTTGATATATACGACTGTATTCCAGGCTAAGTACCATGATACGGCATTGAGTTTTTCAGATTTATTTTGTTTGGTTTATAGATATTAACAGAATGTTAATTTCGAGGAAAGGTAGCAACTACATCTGATTTTATTAAAGCATCATTTTAAACTAATTATTGTCTCAAAAATCTATGTATTCAAGTATTTTTAACATGGATTGGTTTGAAAAGCCGTTAGGACTGATAATATAAAATTTTACCATATAATGTTCACAACATCAGTTCTTAATTACAGGGTATTCCTTTTAACAGGTATGGAGGATCGATAAAAATCATACAATTGTGGTACATAAGTTAGTTACTCTGAGAGATTATCTTGGTGATGTTCTGCATTATCTTAGCCAGGTTGCAACCACTTGTAATTGTTATACTGTTAATGTGTTTAAGAAGTGTGTAGTTGAATGTGCAATCAATCGAAATGTTTTTCGTTATTCACGTATGACCAAGAAGTCTATAAATATTGTTGTACATTACAGTAAAATAAGATATTGATTCAGCGGAAACTTCCTCTTTAGGCAAATTTTTACAAAGCTGTACAGTCGCAAATATATACTTATTTTTCAAATCGGTGATCATTGTCTGTTAACGATAATATTTACAATATTTATGGAACTGCCATAAGTGTTAACAGGTAAAATAGAAATAAATATTGTAGGGGAACTAACGATGTAGTTGCTGTAACCTTGAGTACTCATCAAGAAGATAGATATCGATCAACGAATGTGAAAGGTTGTGTCACGTGATTAGGTGGAATGTAGTGGATATGATCCATGATCAAAAGGAGTATGAAAACAGATGTGTCGGTTGGCGATAAAAAGTCATGAGAGACGTAGAAAGGAGTGTGATGGATTTTAAATAAAGTAAGACATTAAGACTATGAGACAATATGCTAGATAGGTCCCTTTATTGTACATAGTTCAGCTTCTTCCAGAAGTATTGCATATCTTCCGGTAGTGCTAAGAAGATGATGGTTTACTGTCTTCGACAGTTCTCTGCTTGGGTTATTAGTGACTTCGGTCGTTGTCTTTAGTTCATATGACATATGTCCTTGAGGTGTTCGCCTGTTGAGCTTTTATCAAACCGTCTCCATCTCTTCAGTCGAGGTTGGTGATGTTCTTAAATACACTTTACAAAAGGCATCTGCTAATAACATATATCTGGTCTAATAAATTTAGTTTTTGATCTATTCGACTTGTTTTAATGTTTAACATATCTATTGATGTTATCATCAACAGAATATTGATTATAAAAAATTGAAAAATAAGTGTATACTTGTGATTGTACAACTTTGTCAATGATCTCACCAAAACGAGAACTAATAGCCGAATCTATCTTTTGTTTCAATGAGTATATTCCGTTTACTTGGAAGTAATATGGTGAACCCTTAAGATTGTTTAGTTGGAAACAGTTAGAGGACTATTTGTATAGATTCGGGTTCCAAACACACACTATTGAATTGTTATCTGTATTATTGTGAACATAGTCAAGATATCTTTGTGTTGAATCACTCAAGTGGGGTTTTAGTTTACTGAGAATTATTTCGTCAGTGATTCAATCTCTAAGGATATAAAAATTAATCACAAAACCCCTTTCTTTGCCGGTATTTTCCTTCAACTAACTAGTTTCTGTTATCTGAATTGTCTACTTTTAGAACTGCGAACCCTCCAATTTCTCTATGTTAGTATTAATTTACTATGATTCCTTTCATACTCGTCCTTATGACGAGTATTTTGGTTTCTTGATAAGAGAATGCATGATTTTATGAGGAAAGACCTATAATTACGTAATCCGTGTCGCCCATCATTGACAGTTATTATGTCAAGTGAGTGTGCAAAATAAAAGCCCGTTGTACCTAATAAAAAAAGTGATTGGTGTCCAAGTAATCTGAACTTTCGTGTTCGTATAGATCCTAGCCATAAATATTTGATTTGGAAATGGCAAAGTCATTAAATGTCAAAAGTATGGTGTGAATCATACCGCGACCCAAATACTCATTCCTTACGAACCAAAGCAATTTATCTAGCCGCTATGTTGACACAACAACGGCATCGCTGTTAGTATTACACTAGCTATATGTTTCTGTTCACTGGTAAATTTAGCGATTGTCAGTGAATATTATATGTCTCCCTAAGCCCACAGAACTGATCTCAAGTGTCAGAAAACGTCTTTTTAGGTAATGAAAATAAAGAAGCCTATCAGTCATGTCATGAATAATCATGATTTTTGATCTATGAAATGTGGTCGGATTCTTCTCTGTGTCAGCATATTGTGGTTACTATTGGATGTAGTTAGTAATCCGTACAATTCTAACCACATATTCGGTATTTTAAGACTTACAAACGTGAAAGGTAATTGAGTTCGTCGGTGATATAAACATGGAAGTTCATATACCTGATAGCAGTACTGGTAGTATCAACACAGCCATCAAGTCATATGCAGTCTAATGACACTAATCTTCGAAGGGAATGTTAAGAATTTTTCAGAGCCTTTTCCTATTGTGATTTACCATATGGCAAGAAGGATAACAAGAGCGTCGATTAAAGTTATGCCGTAAATACTGACCAGGTCACAATTTATGTAGTCTGTATTAAATAGGTTTGTAATAATAAATACCATCAACTTTCACAGCTTCGTCTACAAATAGACACATAAAAATCTGCACTACGAGTACCCTCACCACATAAGTTTCACCATTTGGTGACTATGAAAGGATCACCTTCATGATGATTAGTGACATTCACTCAATGAATAACCTGGATTAAATAACAGATTTCTAGTACAAACTGGTCTATACTTCATAGCATCAGTCGGAATGTTTCCTAGATTTCACTGAGGATTTTATGAATACTGGGTAACATTTCTCAAGAAACTGACGTAACGATAGGGAATCAAGTAAACAGATTACTATATACAGTTTTTTAACATTGCACCTAATGAGAGAATTCCTAAGCTGTTTTTTCATGTCTTGAATTCTCCTAGGTAAGGTGAACTGTTGTGTTTTGCATTGTAAAGTCCATTGTTGTCGTTGTTAGTCAGGCCAGTTAAATGATGAGGCGATTCTATTTGCGTTTTTACATTCGCTCCCGCCTGTCTGGACGCAAAAAAATCAGATTAAGAATGCCCATTAGAGTTGCACTCAGTGAATAAAAGCCAAAAGTATATTCCAGGAACGACTGAGATCATACTTGGGCAGTTCTAAAAACGAGACTGACCCAGATGTTGCTTGAAAAGATATACGAACAGATGTGTAAACAGCAAAGCCAAACGGTCAAGAAAAAATCTGTGGATTTCTAATAAGTCTATTGCACTGATTGATTCTCGTAAACTCATGCCTGAACACCGATTACCACGACACACAGTGC